AGAATTGATTTTTCAGTTACCATCAACAGTGAAAAGAAATATAAGAAATATTGAGAAAATTCGTGATAGAATTATTAATCTTACTTTTTCGGTCATATTTAATAATATATGTCTACAGGAAAGACTGCTACGAAAATATACTAATATACTAATATGTATATATATATATATATATATATATGTCGTACCTAGTAGCCAGAACGCACTTCTCTGCCTACTATGCAAGGCCCGATTTGCCTAATAAGCCAAGTTTTCCTGAATTAATAAATTTTCTCTAATTTTTTTCTTATGAAATGATAAAGCTACCCATTTCATTATGTATGAGGTCAATTTTTTTAATTGGAATTAAAATTAACATAGATATATGACCGAACCTATCCAACCCTACCTAACCTAACCTAACCTATCTTTATAGGTTAGGTTAGGTTAGGTAGCCGAAAAATCTGGGTTAGGTTAGGTAGGTTAGGTAGTCGAAAAACAATTATTTCATGAAAACTTGGCTTATTAGGCAAATCGGGCCTTCTATAGTAGGCTGAGAAGTGCGTTCTGGCTACCAGGTACGACATATATATATATATATATATATATATATATATATATATATATATATATATATATATATATATATATATATATATATATATATATATATATATATATATATATATATATATATATATATATATATATATATATATATATATATATATATAATGTATAATGTATAATGTATGGTGGCTTGCGTCTGATCAGAGAGCTGTCAACACTTGTTTAGTTCATGGAGGACAGAAGAAAATGCATATATGCTGGTTAGCATTATAAATGTGTGGCCACGTCTGTGATAGAAAAGAACACCTTCAGCAGTCGCCGGTGGCGATGGCTTCTATTGCACACATTGCAATGAAAGGTTGCATGGCTGGTGCTTTAATATTACATGTATTTTTCTTTTGTTTCATATGTAGTCGCCAGTAACGTCAGTTTATAGGGAAGTGTATATGCCATAAGTGTTAGTTGAAGACTTGTGGTCTTAGACATTATATTTTGGCTATTGAATAATTATTTTTGATCGTACGAGTCGTGGCCAGGCAGGATGAGGAGCCAGGGGTGGACTGGAGAGCCTGATGCCACCTTACGGTGAGAGTAGTGAAGGTGTGAACAGTGCTGTTACTCAACCTGTCTCACCTGACCTTAGACCAGAAGTCACTTTGCATCATTTGCAGTGGTCTGACCCTAGTCATCGCTGAGTGGCATGAGGCTCGCTCTACGGGGAAGAATATAAATACTAAATACTGTTATCAGGGTCATCCCTCGATGAGAAAATTGAAATCGGAAATGTGTCTCTTGCCAGACGTGTGGGAGGTTGTCCACCAGTTAGTGTTGTGAAGTATTTACCAAGAGAAGGTGCTTACAGCAGCTCATGATTACCTTGCGTTACCTTTGGTGGATTCCGGAGGTCAAGGTCCCGGTGGTCACCACGGGATGATGGTCCTATAGGATACATCAAGGTGTGAGTATTACTCATACTAGAATTACATCTGTATTTCTTTCGGGCTAGACAAGAGGGTGAGGTTGTAAACACTGTAGTGGATGTGTACCATGCCAGACACGGGGGGTCATGATCAGTCAGTTGCTAGAGCTCCTCCACGCCTCACTGGTGGTCCACAACAACCCTTTTCTCACGTAGTAATGGTTATGGAGGTCCCTTGCCTAGGACCATGCCAGGAAATGTTTATCTTTCTTTGATGTGAACTGCCACTAGATTTCCTGAGGCGTTTGTAGTACAGGACATCCGAACAAAATCCCTAATTGCCCACACGCTGAAATTCTTTTCCATTTTGGACTACCATATGTGATACACATTGAAAATTAGAGTAATTTAAAGTCAGCTACATTTGAGACTATTACATGTTGATGACATTCTTGTAAGTACCTGACATTGAGGCGCTTGTTACAGCTTAAGGATGCATTTGAGCAAGGTATTAAGTTCCACTTACGAGACTAATAGTGAAGGTAAACTGGATGTAACAGCCTTGGACAAAAATGGTGCCATTTTCTGGTGTAGTGGACACTAAGGGAACCAACACAGGAACGTGTCTTAATGTTAGTAGTGCGTGACTGACAGGTACTGGCGCAGTGTTGTCCACGCCTGTCAACCTCACTCTCTCACAGCTCCAGTTAGAAGCAGGTAGACGAGCAACTCAGTAAAGTAAAGCAGCTCGTTGTCAATAATGGACACAGTAACGAATATGTCGTTGATACCATTAAAAGGAAGATGAGCATCTAAGCTATCTTCGATGAAACAACCAACACTACAGTATCTGCTCCACCCATTTAAACTGTTCTACAGGAACTTCTTTTTTACAGCACACAAAATAGGAGGATGAGAGTCCCGAAAGACATTCTGGTCAGAAAGGTGACATCTACTAACAACCGCCAGAAGATATCATAAGAGCAAGAAGACCACCAACTTACTCACCAAGAACTCTCCAGACACCAGGCGAAACGCCTTGAAAGAGACTAATGTTGTCTATGACTTCACATGCCCACTTGGGGACTGTTAGCTCTAACGATCTCGATATATCGGCACGATAACAACGTCTCGTTCAAAGCACCTGACAATGCCCAAACGGCGAGGCTCCAGCAAAGACCTTATAATTTCTCGACACAACCAGATCATCACCAGAGATATCCCAGGACCATCAACACCGTAACAGTTCACAGATACGACAGAAAGAAATTAGACATGGACATAGCACTACATATTGTGTGTGTGTGTCGTGTGGCGGGGAAGAGGGGGAGGATGGTGTGTGTTGACACGTGTCGTTCTCACCTCCCAGGAAACACTAGTGGGAGGTAACCCTAAGACTAGGGGGTAGAAATACCCTAAGCTACTGTAATCCTTTAAGATGTATTTCTTTCTTGTCTCGGTAAACATACTTGAACTTGAACCCTAAGACTTGCCACTCGTAAATAAAGCTGCTACTATCATTAGCTTGAGCCCGCTGCCTCTAATGGTCGCAAGTGGTACACATGTGTAATTATAAAGTTATCTTCCGATGCTGTGTTTATCAGCAGTACTTTACACACGCACCATCTTTTTTCACGTCCTTGGTTTTATCTTTCTCTTGTTAAGTTCCGTTTTCAATGTTATCTCTCTTTTCAAGTATCAGGGAGCCGGTCGGCCGAGCGGACAGCACGCTGGACTTGTGATCCTGTGGTCCTGGGGTCGATCCCAGGCGCCGGCGAGAAACATTGGGCAGAGTTTCTTTCACCCTATGCCCCTGTTACCTAGCAGTAAAATAGGTACCTGGGTGTTAGTCAGCTGTCACGGGCTGCTTCCTGGGGGTGGAGGCCTGGTCGAGGACCGGGCCGCGGGGACACTAAAAAGCCCCGAAATCATCTTAAGATAACTTAAGATAACCATCAAGACTCTAGATAATATTTAGTTTACGATGCTCTTTCACAGTTACAGTTATTTAGTAATGTTAAATGCACGCACACACACACACACACACACACACACACACACACACACACACACACACACACACACACACACACACACACACACACACACACACACACACACACACACACACACACACACACACCTAACAGGTTCCTGTGCCACATCAAAATCACAAGTTGACATTGAATGTGTTTTAACAATGAAACAAATAAGAACGAAAATGATAAATATTCAGACACAAGGAGAAGAGGTGAGGAGAGGCATAATGTATGAGGGAAGCCACACCGTGCAACACTACACGTGTGTGTGAGTCACAACACACCATTCACTTATGGTGAGAGGAGAACTGCTTGACTCTGTACACATGCGGCTCAGGCTTGGGTACAAATATTACTGTGGAATATGGTACAGGTATTAATGCTAATGGCCCCAAGTGTAAACTATGTGGTATGTTAAGGTCTCACACCCTCATTTTCTTGATAGTCCGTTGATTAATGTATATAGAAACACTGCGATAAGGACTGTTCCTCAACAAATAGCCTGGATGTGTCACAACGGAAAGGTTGATGATATTCTGGAGAGATATAAAAATTTTGCACCAAGAGTGTAACTTTTTGTTGAACTGTCTGAATATCTATTGCAAATTGTCTATGTACCTAGTCATAAAAGTATTTGTGTGTACGTCTGGTAACATTACTGCATGTGTACAGGAAGAAAATGTACATGTTTTTCATTATTTACTCAGAATATTCGGTAATATGCTTATTGTTTGTGATGTGTGTCTATAATATACAAGGGAAGGGAGTACCACCTCTGGCTGGAAGAAGGGGGACCCATAGCCTCGGAGGAAACCACACAAAACGCATTGAAGGGAATGTAGGTCCCCTCCAATACAGTTTCTGTGTGCTTTTCTCCTACCACCCCCTTCCCCCCTTTTTTTTTCCTTTATTGTGTATTTAAAGGTTACAAAACATACAAGACAAATGCCTAAAGGTTATGGATCTCTTGAAGCTCCTCCGCTTCTGGACAGGAACCGAGGACGCAGCAAGCATTTCCCCTCTGGATCGCCACACTGAGACGCTGAAAGAAAAAACTGGAAGCCCTTGGGTCTCTGGTGACGTCAATGAGCTTGGAACCCAATTATATATATATATATATATATATATATATATATATATATATATATATATATATATATATATATATATATATATATATATATATATATATATATATATATATATATATATATATATATATTGTGTGTGGTGCGGTGGAACTTTGTACTGAACGGGGTGAAAATAGCTTAAGCTACCTCATCAATTTGAATTTTACCCCAATATTAATAACTGTCCACACGTATTGACACGAACTCAAATACAAATATAAACTGGGACAAAAAATTGGTTGTAATTAAATAGTGAGACGTGGATAAAATTACAAAATGTATGTTGTGGGGAAATATAATGTTTGATAACGTTTGTGAGTAATTCTATACAGTTTCATAATTTAAATTTATTTTATTATATATTTAGTAATGTGGAGTTGGTGCGGTGGAGCTGGTACGGTGGAGCTGGTGCTGTGGAGCTGGTGGGGTGGAGCTGGTGCTGTGGAGCTGGTGGGGTGGAGCTGGTGCTGTGGAGCTGGTGGGGTGGAGTTGGTGCTGTGGAGCTGGTGGGGTGGAGCTGGTGGGGTGGAGCTGGTGCTGTGGAGCTGGTGGGGTGGAGCTGGTGCTGTGGAGCTGGTGCTGTGGAGCTGGTGGGGTGGAGCTGGTACGGTGGAGCTGGTGCTGTGGAGCTGGTGGGGTGGAGCTGGTGCTGTGGAGCTGGTGGGGTGGAGCTGGTGCTGTGGAGCTGGTGGGGTGGAGCTGGTGCTGTGGAGCTGGTGCGGTGGAGCTGATATGGTGGAACTGGTGCTGTGGAGTTGGTGCTGTGGAGTTGGTGCTGTGGAGTTGATGCTGTGGAGCTGGAGCTGTGGAGTTGGTGCTGTGGAGCTGGTGCTGTGGAGCTGGTGCTGTGGAGCTGGTACTGTGGAGTTGATGCTGTGGAGTTGATGCTGTGGAGCTGGTGCTGTGGAGTTGGTGCTGTGGAGTTGATGCTGTGGAGCTGGTGCTGCGGAGCTGGTGCTGTGGAGCTGGTGCTGTGGAGCTGGTGCTGTGGAGCTGGTGCTGTGGAGCTGGTGCTGTGGAGCTGGTGCTGCGGAGCTGGTGCTGTGGAGCTGGTGCTGTGGAGCTGGTGCTGTGGAGCTGGTGCTGTGGAGCTGGTGCTGTGGAGCTGGTGCTGTGGAGCTGGTGCTGTGGAGCTGGTGCTGCGGAGCTGGTGCTGTGGAGCTGGTGCTGCGGAGCTGGTGCTGTGGAGCTGGTGCTGTGGAGCTGGTGCTGTGGAGCTGGTACGGTGGAGCCGGTGCTGTGGAGCTGGTGCTGTGGAGCTGGTGCTGTGGAGCTGGTGCTGTGGAGCTGGTACGGTGGAGCCGGTGCTGTGGAGCCGGTGCTGTGGAGCTGGTGCTGTGGAGCTGGTGCTGTGGAGCTGGTGCTGTGGAGCCGGTGCTGTGGAGATGGTGCTGTGGAGATGGTGCTGTGGAGATGGTGCTGTGGAGCTGGTGCTGTGGAGCTGGTGCTGTGGAGATGGTGCTGTGGAGATGGTGCGGTGGAGATGGTGGGGTGGAGATGGTGCTGTGGAGATGGTGCTGTGGAGATGGTGCTGTGGAGATGGTGCTGTGGAGATGGTGCTGTGGAGATGGTGCTGTGGAGCTGGTGCTGTGGAGATGGTGCTGTGGAGATGGTGCTGTGGAGCTGGTGCTGTGGAGCTGGTACGGTGGAGCCGGTGCTGTGGAGCTGGTGCGGTGGAGCTGGTGCTGTGGAGCTGGTGCTGTGGAGCTGGTACGGTGGAGCCGGTGCTGTGGAGCTGGTGCGGTGGAGCTGGTGCTGTGGAGCTGGTGCTGTGGAGCTGGTGCTGTGGAGCTGGTACGGTCGAGCCGGTGCTGTGGAGCTGGTGCTGTGGAGCTGGTGCTGTGGAGCTGGTGCGGTGGAGCTGGTACGGTGGAGCCGGTGCTGTGGAGCTGGTGCTGTGGAGCTGGTGCTGCGGAGATGGTGCTGTGGAGCTGGTGCTGTGGAGATGGTGCTGTGGAGCTGGTGCTGTGGAGATGGTACGGTGGAGCTGGTGCTGTGGAGATGGTGCTGTGGAGATGGTGCTGTGGAGCTGGTGCTGTGGAGATGGTACGGTGGAGCTGGTGCTGTGGAGATGGTGCTGTGGAGATGGTGCTGTGGAGCTGGTGCTGTGGAGATGGTACGGTGGAGCTGGTGCGGTGGAGAAGGTGCTATGGAACAATGGCCAGTGGAGGTGAAAATAAAAAATAATTATTTTTTATGAATTATTTTATGAATTTATTCTAGGTGGATCTACTAGCAGTTGACAGTCAAGATGACTTTCATCATCTTCCTCTCCCATTGTTGATTTGTTTGTCTTTGTTTACAGCAGAGCGTCTTGAGGAAGGTGTGGTGCGGGATGTTAGAAAGTAGGAGTCGAGGACGCACTCAAGGGCGACTCTGAATCAGAAGGAGATTTAGTTTACCTCAGAAGGAATTATCAGGGGGAAAGCGCCAATCCATTATGATTATATAGCATTTGGAAGGGAAAAGGAATTGGGATGGGACAGGGAGAAGGAATGGTGACCAACCACCTGGACGGTCGGGGGATTGAACGCTGACCTGCATGAAACGAGACCATCGCTCTACTGTCCAGTCCAAGCGGTTGGACTTACCTCAGAAGGAGAAATAGGTTTTTATCAACAGAAAACTTGGCCGTCAAGAATCGCCTGAAAGAGCCAGCTTAATAGAGCCTCTCTCTCGATATAATACGTCCCCCCCCCCATCCTCCCACTCAGGGACACTTGTATACTGTCCTTGTGTCAATGGTGGTTTGATCAATCATATATGTTTTATAACATTTAGAGTGATAAATACTTATAATGATAAAGAGCTTTCAAGGACTTTTATGATATAAAGATTTCAAGGTCTATTTCCTTATCTGGCAGACACATTGGCTATATTTTCATGTGCTTATATTATGGATTGTGGTGTCCTATATGAAAAGACTAGCAGTTAGTTGAAAGAAAAATGATTTTGCTTCTCTTTGCATATATAATTCTTAGGCATATCTTAGACGTAGTTCGTATTCCACTGAGGCAGTGCAGACAAACTGTGAATTCCTCCAATGAATCACCATAATTTATACAACGAATAAAGACACGAAATGGTAGTTTGATAAAACAAAAAATCTACAGCGAATTAGTGTTATATAATCTGATAATTTATTGCCGGTGTAACGGAAGTGTTTCCGGTACGACAACTGTGGCAGCGGTGCAGGCAGCAGAGCAGAGGGTGCCGGCCGGGCCGAGGGCCAGACCGCGCGTGGCCGGCATCGACACCGGGTCTCAGCGCTTCTCGCCCCCTCTTCTCCTCCACCGTTGTTTACCTTAATGATGTGCTCATAACGACACGATATATATGCATGTTGAGATCAAGTTGGATTTTACAGACATGTTTATATGGAAAGACATTTAAGTTTTCTATGGGATAAAACAATTTTAGCAGTGTGACATTGTTTCTTTTGTGTGTGTGTAAATGTGATTCGGAAAGAATTCGCCAATTTATTCCATGCTCTTTGAAGACACGACAGACGTAAGTAAAACTCTTTACTATGTAGGTTGTAGTTCAAGTGTTGTCTTCTGCCATAACGTCGATTCCGATTGTCAACTATTGCAACTGAGCTATATATAAACTGAACAACAATTAATTGTCTGAAAGGTAAACAATCAATTGACATTGGGATCGCATTTTTTAACGGCTGTAATGCACGAAAGATGTGTAAGATTCCTCTCTTTAAATCTAATTTAATTGTTCTCGTATATTGTGTGGCGTAGTCAATATTTACGTTGTGAGGGGATAACAGCACAATAAATGAAGACTTTGACACTTGAAATTGTTTGTTAATGGTTGGTTTTTAAAAGCGGGCAGGAACAAAGGGTTGCTAGGCTTTCGCGTGACGCAAGACATGACACAACACGTGACATGACGAAACACGTGACGCGAGACTATAAAGCAACACGTGATGCGAGATTATAAAGCTACACGTGACGCGAGACATGACGCAACACGTGACGCGAGACATGACGCAATACGTGACTCGATACATGACGCAACACGTGGCGCGAGACATGACGCAATACGTGACTCGATACATGACGCAACACGTGACGCGAGACATGACGCAACACGTGACATGACGCAACACGTGACTATAAAGCAACACGTGACGCGAGACATGACGCAACACGTGACATGACACAACACGTGACGCGTGACATGACGCAACACGTGACGCAACACGTGATATGACGCAACACGTTACATGACGTCACATATGTATGCTTCACCAGTGTACCATCATGACGGTACACTGGTGTGTCAACAGTGGTACAAAAAGCGAGGAGTCGGCGGAAGGTGAGACTAAGAGAAGCTCGGACATACATAAACACGTAAAGAATTCCCCCAAATATCTTCGAGTGCAGCTTAGCTTAACATCCTACAAGGAAATATGTAAAACACGATCATTTGTCTTAATAACGAATGCAATTTGTATTTCTTACTCGCTGCAGTGTTGCCGAGAAGCCTTAGTCAACTTTGCAGTAGCCAATTCACACATTCATTCACACTAGGTGCCATTTTTTGTTGTTTTGAAGCCATTTCTTGCCCACCCAACTGTGTATGTCTGGCATGCTTCACTCTGGCAGCATCCGCGGAAGGTAAGTACTCACAAACCAATACTTTTACACTTCGCTGCTTCAGCTAATGCTGGGGATAAGGAGCTAATGATCTTGTTTGTCATGTCACTCCAGAGTCTTAAGTTTTTGTACTGTGTCACTTCCCGGGGGTTGCTATATCGTCTCCCGGGGGGGGGGGGGGGGGGTGCTGTGCCGCCTCTCGGGGTGGGGGGGGGGGATGGGTTGCTGCGTCGCCTCCCGGGGAGGGGGGGGGGGTTGCTGTGCCGGCGTCTGGGGTTGTTGTGTCTGTCGGTTGTTTACGACACACAACTCAGCATGAAAATGACTTCTGTAGAAGACATTGAAAAACGACAAGCTGATATTAATACAGTTTTCGCCTGTGGAGCAGAAAATATTATAATATTTAACAGTAATAAATTCCAGGTACTCAGGTACGGTAAAAATGAGGACCTTAAACATAATGCAGAGTACAAAACAATCAAATTTACCCATAGTAGGAAAGCAACTTGTACAAAATTTGGGAATAATGATGTCTGACGACTTAACGTTTAGGGAGCATAACCAAGCAAATATTGCGTCAGCCAGAAAAATGATAGGATGGATTACGAGAACTTTCAAATCCAGGGATCCCATCACAATGGTTGTACTCTTTAAGTCACTTGTGCTGTCCCGTCTTGAGTACTGTTCATTTCTCACTTCCTCCTTCAAAGCAGGAGAGATTCCTAAAATAGAGGGAATACAGAGAACATATACGGCATACGTAGACACGATAAAGCACCTAAATTATTGGGATCGTCTCAAAACTCTTCAAATGTACTCACTACAAATGAGACGAGAGACATATCAAATAATATATACATGGAATTAAGGCACTGGAGGGCCAGGGTCTAAATTTGCACAGTAAATTATTTTTCTTGTCAGGCTCTTGCAGTTGTCTATAATTGCAAGTTATTAAAGTCTACACTGTAATAGTCATTCATTTTCTGACTTCTTTCGGAATGCAACACAAAGTTTCTGGCCTCTTAAACTCATTCCCATCCTAGATTTTATTGTATATAAGAAAACATTCCTTCGAATGTTGCAATATTTGTTGGTCTTACTCAGCCACTCGTGAATACTTTCCGGTGACGCGGAACGATTTTTTGTATCAAATTGGGACACTTGAACAAGGATATAGACTAATGATTATTTACCACTGACCAGTTTTTACTTGTACAATAACTAACAATGCTAACTAGCATATATGTATTTTCGACTGTGTTCCATAGACATGGTTATAGTGCCCTCTAAAGACATGGTTCTACTTATGGTATTCAACTACAGTATGCGATTAAGCGCTGTTTGTGAAGACAATCTTCAATTCCAACCAGCATATGTATATATTTTAGTCTCCATTACAGTGACATATATTACATAATAGTTGCAAAACATAGTAACTCTTGGGTATAGGTATGTATAACACACGAGACGTTTTATACTTACTATATATAAGCTGTGTGTAATTACCTAAGTGTAGTTACAGGATGAGAGCTACGCTCGTGGTGTCCCGTCTTCCCAGTACTCTTTGTCATATAACGCTTTGAAACGCCTGACGTGTATTCTCAATTAGTTGTGCTTGCGAGGGTTGAGCTATGGCTCTTTGGTCTCGCCTCTCAACTGTCAATCAACTGGTGTACAGATTCTTGAGCCTACTTGGCTCTACCATATCTACATTTGAAACTGTGTATGGAGGCAGCCTCCATCACATCACTGCTTAATGCATTCCATTTGTTAGCTACTCTGAGACTGAACATATTCTTTCTAACGTCTCTGTGGCTCATTTGGGTACTAAGTTTCCACCTGTCTCCTTGTTCGTGTTCCACCCGTGCTAAATAGTTTGTCTTTGTCCACCTTGTCAATTCCCCTCAAAATTTGTAGCAACTGTGTTTGTCTGGGTCTGTGTTTGTGTCTGTCAGAGAGAGAGAGAGAGAGAGAGAGAGAGAGAGAGAAGAGAGAGAGAGAGAGAGAGAGAGAGAGAGAGAGAGAGAGAGAGAGAGAGAGAGAGAGAGAGAGAGAGAGAGAGAGAGAGAGAGAGAGAGAGAGAGAGATAATAATGTTTGTCACTTTGGACTTTTATCCAAACATATGGCTTTAATTATTTCTGAAGTATACATTATTTGGTCGACAGGACCAAATACTGTAGTGATGGACACCAGAAAGTTCACTTTTGTATTACAGAATTTGGCCAAATGTGAAAAAAATCCTGCAACATATAGAACCATATAGAGCCTAGCCTCTACTAGCAATCCTAGACCTAATACAGGCTATGTTAAGCCTAATAAAGTACATATGTGCTACACTAGGCCTAGAAATGTTTAAGTTTGGTTTTTAACATTTAATTTTTTCCTAACTATAAAATTGAACGTATAAAAAATGAGCTTTTAGTGATACGAACATCACTACTTGTTGGTACTTTCGACCAAATAGTCACTCTAAGTACCGTACTATCATACCTGGGAGGATGGGCTGGTTATACCCTGCTGCCAGAGTATGCTCTAGGGTATATCGTGAACTCGTGGAGGCTATAAATATTTTTGTCTTTATTTAGCGAAACAAATAAAAGTGTACTAAACATTTTTGATAATCACTATGTAATTAAATTTTTAATATATAATGCTAAAGCACCCATAAATGTTTTAACATATAATGCTAAAGCACCTAAACGTTTCAATATAGAGTTAAAACACGTAAGTGTTTGAATATATGAAAATATAGAATTAAAATTATATTCTTCAGATTTTTTACTTGTGGTAAACTTGAGTGCTATCCTTCCGTAGGATTGATATACTGGAAAGAACTACTTAGGACTTGTACTGTACTAAATTAAAAATTACTGTATGCAAAATTAATACAACTAAAGTCCCTAGCTAGGATTGTAAATCCTAGCTCCTCTGGTCCTAATGACAGACTGTGGGCTGTAAGGGGCAGGTGGGGTCCCTAAGGGTGAATGGGGAAGTTGATTGAAGATCTACAATCCACCTGCAGACAATTCAACACATCAGCTTGTATTGTTAATACAAGGATAAGATTAAATAACTCAGTTCTATAACTGAACACTGGTTCTGTTTAAATCAAGGATCTAAACATGTACATAGTCCAGCCTAGCACTATAACTACAACAGCCAATATTCACATACTAATAAACACAACAATTTGTATTATAGAGGTATGATATATATAAATATGCAATCAAAGGACCATAAATGTGGTCCAAGTGCACTTGAATCTAGGTACAAAAATTTATGTTCAATATAATAAATTTATATGATAAATTAAAGATAACTAAGTAATTGTTAACCTAATGTATATTATCAATTAATATATTAATTTTATATGAAGAGTTTCAATTAAGCTTGACTTTCAATGACTGAGGTTGAATAATTAATGAGTGTCCAGATAAATTTAAAAGATTCAATGGCTAAAAGATTAATAAAAACTTACTGAAATATGGGGCGTTGCCCCACTCTGTAATGACAGACTTATTGGATAGATTAAGGTTAAACAAGCATGCAATTGGCCAATCAACACACTACAATACCACTCAATATACTTATGTTTATCCAATCTGAGCGCCAGTCTCTGACAAGTTGCCAGACTGATAACCTCTCTGGTAGAGCTTAGGCACTATATTTTTATGTCACAGCTTTGCTGTTAAATGTCCTTCAGGCTTTGTTAATTAATTATGTCCTTAGTTGCATTTGTAGTAGAATAAGATAAAGTGTGGTGAAAGCGGGATCTGTTATGAGCCACTCTTCACTCGTATTTAGATAAAGTACTATGAATTTTTTCCTTTTAGATATTGTCCAGGTATTCCCCCAGTTGTTGTGAGTAATCGCTGGTGATAATGATAAGTTAGTGTGGTGTCCTTTACTGAAAATGTTCGCAAGGCACTGCGTCACGTGTTCACTCTGTTTGTAAATATACGTTCTGTCCCCGGGGCGCTCCAGTAGTCGGCGCTTCAAGTCCTGGCTAGCTTCGCCCTCTCCCTGGGGAGGGTAGCCTTCAATCTATATTTATTGATTATTCTGTCTAGACATATGATTGAGATAAGATATGATTATAATATAATTAGATATAGGATTTATAGATTATTTGTAGTACTTGATAGTACTATTGATTCTTACTAAGGATTTGATTTAATCCTTACCGGAAATCGATTGATTGTTCCAATAGTTTTTTAATTAAGATATTCTTCTTGAAGTTTCTAGATCCTTGAGAAATCATGCACAAAGTCACATAGGCACCATGAGCCCTATGGTGTACATGATCATAGTGGCATTGTCATGTGGGATCCTTATGTAGGATATAGCCCTATCTGTAGTGATTCTGATATGCATTCTCATACGATCCAGATGTAGGATATTATGAATCTGATATGATTTTGAAATGATTTTGGTATGAAATAGAAATAATACATTTCTTAGATAATAATGTTGATATAGTGAATAAAATTTCCCACACCATAGCTAGTATTATGATTGTAATCGTACCATAGCTAGTATTATGAGTGTAATCGTACCATAGCTAGTATTATGAGTGCCATCGTATCTGGGCTAATATTTTGAGTATTGGGGAGAAATTGTTGTGTGAGAAATGAGAAGGAAAATATTTATAGGAGAAGAGTTACATTGCAAGTTCAATTTCCTATTAAATTATTTTTAACCTGGACAGGAAGCAGTTTAACTCAAGAAGAAACAGCGCACGTTAAGGATCAGTTGCAGGAAATACGCTTGCAGTAGTTCAGTTTTGTGCTCGTTTGGGCTATAACGCTGGGAACTAAGCCCGTCCTCGCATACAGAGATCCAAGCTCGTTAATCCACCGGCCAAACCCCCCATTTATGAATGAAAAGCGGTTTACAAACGACTTACAACTGATGACGTCTGAACACTTCCGGAACAAGTGCTTCACTCATGTCCTCTGTTCAAACCACAATTCTATAAATGCTTCACCCACGTCGAATACAAATAATCGCCAACAGAACCTAAACACCTAATCTAACCTAACTTATGCCTTAGGTTAGGTGTTTATTCATAGAGGATTATACATAGAATTTTTCTGTATGAT